GTTAACCACAAATAACTAGAAAACATGTTTTTAAAAACCAAAACAGAGCCGGGCGGTGGTAATGCACGCCTTTAATCCCAGTACTCGGGAGGCAGAGCCAGGCGGATCTCTGTGAATTCAAGGCCGGCATATATGTATGTGTATATATGTATATGTATATATATATATACATATACATATACATATACATATATACACAGATCCAGGACAGGCACCAAAACTACACAGAGAAACCCTGTCTCAAAAACCAAAAAACCAAAACAAAACAGAAGGAAGGGAAGGAGGGAAGAACAGGAGGGAGAGACTCACAAATCAACTTGTTGCTTATCTAGGGTAAGGAGATTATATAAGTGGGGGGTAAGGATAGGTTACTAAGGGAGAGGAATGGTCTTCTATGAATGAGCAGAGATTTTCCAGGAATTTGGACACCATCCTTTCAATTTTTCCCGTTTGCGGTTCTTCCCCGTGTCAACATGGCAGTCTTGACCTGTCCTGGAAGAGGGTGCTAGTCAACAAGCAGACGCTATTATGATGATGTCAGAGGTTGACAATCAGCCACTGTGGCAGCCTTTATAGATCCAACCGGTTCAGACCAGCCCACGTGAAGAGCAGCTTCTGGCCTCCAAGCAACTGGACGACAGTAAAAGAGCTTAGTGGGAGAAAGAGATTCAGGTAGGTCGCTTAGGCAATAGGAAAAAGGGTAGGCTAGCCTCTGTGGTGGGGCAGGGTTGGACTGGGTGGACCTTGCAGCCACCCATTTCTCTCATCACTCATCCTGGCTGGTCCCTTTCTTCTTTGCCCTTCGTCCCTAGCCCACTTCTCACTTGTCTCTCTGTCTCTTCCTCGTAAAACCAATCCTACCCCTGTCTCCCTTGCTTTCCTTATGTTCAGCGACAGACTACCAAAACTAACCCTGGTGTTAAAAATCGTCTAGTTCTGAAGCTGAGCGGCACACACCTATAATCCTGAGTTTGGAATGTAGAGAAACGAAGAGAGGGAGTTCAAGAGCAGCCTCCAGTACCTAGCAATTTTGGGGCCACCCTGGGTATCCTAGTTGGGTTTTTATTGCTGTGATAAAGCACCATGACCAAAGGCAAGTTGGGGAAGACAGGGTTTATTCCACTTCCACGTCACAATCCATCACTGAAGAAAGTCTAGACAGGAACTCAAACATGCCTGGAACCCGGAAGCAGGAGCTGATGTAGAGGCCATGGAAGGGTACTGCTTACTGGCTTGCTCCTCCAAGGTTTGTTCAATCCACTTTCTTATAGAACCCAGGACCATCAGTCCAGGGGTGGAGCTCCATCCACAAAGGGCTGGGCCCCTCCCCATTAATCACCAAGAAAGCGCTCTACAGGCTTGCCTACAGCCCTGTCTTGGGGAGTCATTTTCTCAATTGAGGTTCCCTCCTCTCCAATGACTCTAGCTTGTGTTAGGTTGACATAAAACTATCTAGCACACTGGGATACTTGAGACACCATAAAACAAACAAACAACAAACAAACAGGACTAGAGTTTGAATCCCATTATGCACGTAAGAGCTGGGTGGCATGGCAGTCTGTTTGTAATTCCAGATTCAGAAGGTAAAAGGGTGGAGACAGGCCATCCCCAGATCTAGCTGGCTAGCCAGACTTGCCTTATCTGCAAGCTCTGGGTTCACCTGAGAGACTTTGCCTCAAAAACAAGGTGAAGAGTGATTGAGAAGGACTCCCAATGTCAACCTAGGACTTCCACATACACATGGGCTCATGCACCTTCTCACACACATGTACACACACACACACACACACACACACACACACACACACACACACACACACACATCAAACCGTGAACCAAACCCAAACTTTTATTCCATGCTTTCAAAAGTATTAGAAATGTTTCCAAACTCTTTCTCACAGAAGACTTCCCAAGACGTAAAGCTGATGGGGCTTCTTTGCACCGAAAGAGGAAGCCAGTGCATCATGCTTCATCCACCCAGCTTCCAGCTGGGTGATCCTACCCTACCCTCAAAGAGCTCCTGAGTTCCAGTGTCCTGGGTTGACAGCCTTGGGGGAAAGCCTCACGTTTGATAGGTGAGGAGAGTGAGCCTAGAGATGGCAGCACATGACTTGATATGCATGAAAAACCCTCTTGAAGTTCAGGAGCTAAAGTCATTCCCATAGGCTCAAAAACTGCTTTCATTGACCAAGACTACACTTAGCCCTCAGAACCGGAAGTCGTCTTCGGACTTTCCCTCCTGTTCTGATGCAACTGCTGACCTTTTCTCCTGACCCAAGAGAAGGAGAGGGAAAAGGAAGAACAGACTTCTGAAAGGACAAGTGCAGGCCGGTAGGCTGCCTCTAAGCCTAGCGCTTGGAAGGCAGAGGCAGGAGGATCAGTTCCAAGCCTGGTGACATGGTGAGACACTGTTTTCAGAAGGAGGGAGGAGGAGGGGTAGGAAAGGGAGAAGGAAGAAGAAGTAGGAAAGAGGAGGAGGAGGGGGGAAGAGAAGGAGAAGGAAGAGAAAGCAGAGGAGGAGGAAGGCAAGTCAACTGATCCCACCCTGGGCATCTCTATGGCCACCGTGGAAGGGCTCCTATACCAAGAAAGTGGCTGGGGCCAGTGACATGAAGTGAAGCGGTGTTCACACAAACAAAAGAGCTTTGTGGGCTGCGTGGATTCTGACACGACCGGGCACAGGGACATGACAACTTGCTTTTCCTCGGAGGGAACGGCAGCTTAACGTTGATGTGTCAGCTCCACATTGTGCAAGCCCTCCTCCTCCGCCTCCTCCTTCCCCACAGCTATAAGATACACTGTCAGATGAACACGCTCACTCTTCTTCCTCCTTTGTAAAAGAACGATATGGATGTTTATAAAGCTTCTCCTCGCCTTTCAAAGTCAACACAATTAAAGCACAATGCATCTTAATGGCCAGCCCCCAGCCCTGTGCAGAGCAAATGGCAGCCATCCCAATTAAAATAACCAGGCACTGATCTGAAAAAGGGCAGGAGCCAGGCTGAGACCTCTGCAAAAACGGCCCCAGACATAACAGAAAATAATTTGCATTGAAGGTGCCTGGTTTTCCGTAGTGCCCTTTGCAGGCTCTTCACAACTGTTTTTACAACAAGCATTCCCCCTGTCCCACAGTTTTCCAGAGGCAGGGGGAAGACAACTTAATTATCTTTCCAGAGAAACAGAGCTCCAACACACCATGTCAAGAGACACGGAAGGCAATCACACAGAGCATGGGTGGCTTAGGTCTGTAATCCAGCACTTGGAAGGAGGCTGAGGCAGGAGGATGTTGAGTTTGAGGTTAACCTGGGCTACATAGAAAGACTGCCACAAACAATAAACAAACAAACAAACAAAAAAGACAGAATCAACTGTCTTAAAGTTTGACATTCTTTTTGTCATAACAGTAAGTGGTGGTTGGCTTAATATAAAAAGTTTATTTTTATCAGATATGTTCATTTTATTTTATGTGTGTTTTGCCCAAGTAGATGTCTGTGTACCACATGTATGTTTGGAACATGCATGGCAGACAGAAGAGGGCATCAGACCCCCCCTAGAACTGGAGTGACAGATGGTTGTGAACTACCATGTAGGTGTTAGAAATTGAACCTAGATCCTCTGCAGTAGCAACAAATGCTCTTGTAACCCATGAGCATGTCTTCAGCACTCCCCACCACCCCCCACCCCCCAAAGTTGGAATTTCTTAAGAAAATACGTTAACCTAGTGTGATGGATCAATGGGCAGAGGCACTTGTGGCCTGAGTTCAGTCCCTGGGATCCACACAATAAAGGAGGAGAAATGACTCCTACAAGTTGTCTTCTGACTTTCACACCCACTGTTGTGCTTGAGTAAATACACATGCTCACACTCACACAGAAACAAATGAGTAAATAAAATAAAAACGTAAAAGAGAAAATATCGTAACATAGCTTTAAGCTCGTGCATTGAGAGAGACAAGTACTTGGCAAAAGAACAGTACATACCCAAGACGTGGGTGCCGGTTTCTCAAGAGAGGTTCACCTTGTAGTCTGGTCAGAGAACTGAGTGAGCCCCTAGGTAAGACACTAAAGACAGCCCCAACATCTAGTAAGGGCTCGTTAAATCAGAGCTGCTGTTCCTGCAGGACTCTGAGTGCACAGGGTGCTGCCACAGACAGTATCTTTTCTTGACTGAAATCCAGATCATCTGGCTCAAGTCCAGATATTTGAAAAAGATTTAGAATGCTGGGTACTGTCCAGTAGACTTTACTGAGCACATCCCAAGGAGGCTAGTCTATGGATTATGGTTTTCCCAGCTCCCTTCAACCCCCCCGCCCCTTGGCCAAGCATTCCCTCTGCTGGGAAGAAGAAAGAAGAAACTCCCCCACTTAGGAAGTGTGAACTGTCCCTGGTCTCTTTTATAACACCAGGCAGAAATATGCAAATTGTTATCCATGCTTCCCCCGTCCCATCTCCTTACTTCCAAATGCCACTGATACTTTGAATTTAAAAAAAAAAAAAGTGGAGGATGGGAGGTCAGGGAATTAAGCTATAATTTCCCCTGGTGTCCTATAAAGTAACATTTAAAGCTACATTGAGAGTGCTGGTCCCCATCTCACCCCTACACCCTAAGAAGGCAAGCAGGAGAGCCTGGATAACCTGGTGTGTGTGTGTGTGTGTGTGTGTGTGTGTGTGTGTGTGTGTGTGTGTGTGAGAGAGAGAGAGAGAGAGAGAGAGAGAGAGAGAGAGAGAGAGAGAGAGAGAGAGATTAGGTGACTACTACTACTTTATAGATGGTACTACAATACAAGGCTGTTGGGGACAGAAGTAACTTGTTCAGGGCACCACGGTGAGTCAAAGCTCCATCTCTTCCCTTGTGAGCTCATTTTCCTCTGCCCGCTCTGAGTTGAGTTTCCTCATCTATAAAACCAGGCCATGCAGGTAGGCACCCTCCAGGGCCTTGTAAAAGGCCCATGAGTTAACTCAGCCAGCATGCTTAACACAATCATTGGCACACAAATGGGTCCTAGAAATGTTAGGTATTATTATTATTACCCCCAAAGAAGATCTATGCCTTTTCTACGACATCAAATGGGGCTCTGTTCCCGATTAAGGACAATGGCTTTGTCTCCAGATGACCAAGCTTTAATTCCTCAGCGGTTCATGGTGTGAGACACGGGGCATGAGTAGCAATGACTTCTGTTCTCTGAGGAAGTTGGTTGGTCCAGCTGTGGTGGGGTTCACTTGTGGCTCCCTCCTGTGCTGAACCCGTTTGTTGACAGGGTGCTGTCATTAGTGTCCTTTCTCGGTTGGTTTCTTCTCCTTCTACCTTCTAGCCCTTCGGTTCTCTGCTCCTCTTCCCTTTTCCCTTTCCTTTCTCTTCTCCCTTCCTCCCTGGCCTCTGCCCTCTCAGGTCCTAACCACTTCCAAGAGCCAGAGGCTCTTTTCCAGAAGTTGCTCTCCAGTCGCTGCGGGCTGTGGAGACCTGGCCTACAAAGATGTAACAACTTTGTAACTTTTGCAGGATCTATTTGAAATGACACCTTCCCCCCCCCCCCCCCCCCCGCGGGCCTGATTATGGCTTAGCCTTCTGGTTCTCTCATCCATCCGTGCAGTAGGTTTCCATTACTGACCTCGCCAATGATCAAATGAAACGTGAAATGGGCTATTCCGAAGCGTCCAGGCCCAGATGGGTCGATATGCAAGCCAAGGGCAGACCTGGGGCTCTGTGAATCCGAGTACACTGGCCTAGTTCGTCGCTGGGGGACCTTCTGTCTAGAAGCAATCCCTACTACGGTTGGAATCCAGCCAGCAGGGTTTGGGCCCGCGCGGCCGCTTTAAGAGAGGGGCGGGGCCCGGCACAGGCGAGGCAGGGCCTGCCCACAAGGCTGCTTTTCCTTTTTGATCCATTCAAAAATTACTCATTGCAAATTCCCGGACAGCTCGGGGAGGAGAAGCCGGGGGGCGGAGGAGAGAGAAGGCTGCAGCGGCGCAGTGTTGGGACTCCGGGGCACAGCGGGCTTAGGTCGGTCCCGCAGAAGCCGCCAGCCGGTGCCGAGCTCCCGGGGCCTCTCCAGGAAGCGCCAGTCTCCGCCCGGGGAGCTGGGAGCACCGCCCCCGCCGTCCTCCCGGGACCCCCAGCTCCGGCGCGCGGGCGATGGGCGGCTGCTGAGCGGGCACTCGGCACCGCGACCCCAGCCCTCGGCATGGCCGCGCGTGAGGAGCTGTACAGCAAAGTCACCCCGCGCAGGGACCGCCTGCAGCGCCCGGGCACCGTCAAGCATGGGTCGGCGCTAGACGTACTCCTGTCCATGGGCTTCCCCCGCGCCCGTGCGTAAGTAACCCGCCCGGGCCCCGCGACCCTCGGCTTCGCTCCGGCTCGCCATCCTGGCGCTGCCCGAGAGAGACCTCCTTGGGGAGGGGACGCGGTGGGAGCGCTGACGGCAGGAGTGCTGGACTAAGGGCTTGCTTGGGGATGCTGGCAGCTAGGGCAGCTGGTTCGAATCCCGGGCTCCGCGGGTGGCCCTGGGCGATTTGCGCGCGCGCTTCCCGGAGGTCCCTTTTGGTAAGCCCGGGCGAGGCAAGGAGAGGCAGGTCCCTTGGAGGACTTGGATCCCCTATCCATCTAGAGTGCCGAGCCAGCTTGTGGTGGCAGGGGTGGGTGGGTGACTTTGGTGGCTGGGGAAAGGCGAGGAGCAGCGGGGCAGGGTGGCCGGCACCCCCGCTGCAGCGGCTTCCAGCTCCGGATGTCGTTCTTGAGCTCCGGCTCCCTCCGGAGTGGGAGGAGCGGGAGCGTGGGTGTCGCTGCGTGTTCATTGATAGAGAGGATGGAATGGGAAGGAGAAGCGATTCCTCCAGGGGATCAGGGTTCTCGTCAGTGGTGACGGCAGTGCAGAAAGCTGTGGGTGCTGGAAAGTGGGAATGAGGGGGGGGGGTGCCCTCCTGCCTCCTCCTTCCTTTCCAAGGGTTGGGCTGGGGAAGGGCACAGAGCGCAGGTGGCTGTCGCTGCAGCCTTCAGGAAAGAGCGGGGTTGCCAGCGTCGGGCAGCAACAGCAGGAGTCCCCTGGAGCCGGTGCACTCCAGTGCAAGGGGCTGGAGCCTCGCCTGACAGAAAGCCGGCGCTGATTAGCCGGGGTGGGGTGGGGTTGGGGGGACGCTTCTCTGGTTAATTCCTGGCTTGCTGGTTTCCTTGGTGGGGACACAAAGTCCAGGATGGTGGCAGGTGCTGCTTTCTTACTCTTTCAATTATGTCACCTGAACTGGAGTTGGGCGAACTTTATCTGTAAGTTCGTTCTGGCGATAACTCTAGGTATCTTTCCTGGGAGCCTGGGTTCTTTACTAACTTGGTTGCAGTCATAATAAAGCAGGCTCCTGGATGTATCATCCCACCCAGCCTGCTAGGACAGGCTGGAGTGCTGTTTGGCCCAGTCCGTGAAAGGTCGCAAAGTGGACCGAGATTTCTGCTTCCTGCTGACTTTGAGAGGAGATGTGAAGGGTTCTACAGGGGGTCCCTAGGTGAGGATCCTCCACAGAAAGCCCCGAGGATGGATGGCATTCTGTGGAGCCTCCTGAGAACCAGAACAGAGGCCAAATGTGCTTTAGAACTTGCATAGTTCCAGACAGCTGCTATTTCTGAAGTGAGACCAGCGTCAAGGACCCACATTGCTTAATTTAAAGGAGAGGTGCTTCACTGGACTCTTTAGATTTTTCATATCTGATATTCAGTGGGCTTTAAGGGAACAATCTATTTCCTGCAGTGGGCCTCGGAGGCCTTGCTCAGGTCACGGCAGACTAGGAGGATGGCCTGATTTGGTTTGGCTTGATTCCTGAGGTCCCACAATAGCTAGATTACTGACTATTATTGACAGTTGGAAACATTTTATTTTCATTACCCATTTACCCTCCTAGCAACTTAATGAAGACATGCTCCATGCCTGTTTTGTGGCCAGGGAAGCCAGGGCTTAAACAGGTTGTACAACATACATAGGGTCCCAGTAGTTGGGGGTGAGAGGTGGGGAGCAGCGATTCAAACCTAGGTCTTGTGTCTGCACTGTAAGACCTTACAGGAAGCACCATGGGATTCTGTGTGGATGAGATACTCATCAGTTCCCAGTGCATGCAGTGGCTGTTTCTTTTGGCTGCTGGAACAAGTGGCTACAGGCTGGGTGGCTGAAGTCAACAGAAATGTATTCTCTACCATATTCTAGGGGACAGATGTTCCAAGTTGGTATCCTTGGGGCAAAACTGTTTGCCAGGTTGTGCTCCCCCTGGAGGCTCTAGGAGAGAACCCATCCCATTCATCCCGCTTCTGCTGGCTGGTGGGCATTATTTGGTTGTGGCCACTTCATTCCATCCAGTCTGTACCTTTGTCTTCTCTTTGCGCCAGATTTTCCTCTGGGTGTGTCTTATGATACATGTAGGAAATATGTGTGTGTGCGCGCGCGTGCGTGCGTGCGTACGTGCGTATATGTGTGATGCCCCCCTGCATTCCTGTGTGGAGGACAGAGGTTGACCTTGAGTGTCTTCCCCTATTACTCGCTCTCCACCTTATATTTTGAACAGGGTCTCAGTGATCTTGAGCCTGTTGTTTTGGTTAGACTAGCTGACCAGTCCACCTGTCTACACCCCCCTCCCACCCAGCACTGAGGTCATTGATGCTTGTCAGTGCACGCAGCTTTTACTTGGGTGCCGAGGCTCCAGACTCAGGTGCTTGTGTGGTGAGCACTTTAGACAGTGAACCATATCCCCAGCCCCTGGTAAATCATGGTTAGTGGTTACATAAAACTGCATCCATGGAGTCCCATACATGTTCACACTGTGTAATGTTGAAATTGGGCTGAACATTTTCTTAAATATGTAACATTCCCTCCCTCTTTTCTTTCCTTCCTTTCTACTTTCCTTCTTTATTTTTTCTGGTGAGACAGGGTCTTTCTGTGTAGTCTAAGCTGGCATCAAATTTCTCAGCCTTCTGCCTCACCATCCCAAATGTGTGTGTTACCAGCCTTATCTTTTTTTTTAATGATAGAAACTTTCAAACTTTTTCTTACTTAAAAAAAAACCTAAAACCTTTTAAATACAGGATTGGAGCGATGGCTCAGTGGTTAAGAACATATGTTCATGCAGAGGACCCAGGTTCAATTCCCAGCACGCACACAGCAGCTCAGAACTGCTTGTAATTCTAGTTACTGCCCTCTTCTGACTGCCTTAGGCACCAGGTGGCACACAGTCATATCTGCAGGTAAAACACTTACATGCATAAAATCAACAAATCTAAAAAAATTTAATTACACTTATTTATTTGTGCGTGCCCCCCCACATGTGCACGTGGAGGTTACAGGACAACATCTTATAGTCTAGTTCTCTCCTTCCACCACATGAGTCTCGAGGATCAAACTCGGGACATCAAGCCTGATGGTGAGCACTTGGTATAGTCATCTCCAGCTCCACCCCTGTCCTTAGCAAATGGCAGGATTTTGTTCTTTTTTTATGGCCTAGTGTATTCCATGAATGCCGAGGACTGCCCTATGGTCTTGAGTAATCCAGAATAATTACCCATGTCAGAGCCATCCCTAAACTTTATCACATCATTCTTGTAGTGTTTACAGATTTCAGGGATTAAGACATAGCTATCGGCCTGTCGTTGGTGGTTTACGCCTTTAATTCCAGCCCTTGGGAGGCAGAGGCCTGAGGATCCCTGAGTCTGAGGTCAGCTTGGTCCACAGAGCGAGTTCTGGTACAGCCAGGGCTATACAGAAAAACCCTGTCTCAAAAAACCGAAAGGAAAAAAAAAAGACATGGATATCTTTTGGAGATATCTTACCACAAGTACTGTAGTGTTTCTGGTATTGCCTCTTTTTACCAAAGAGAAAAAAAACGTAAGATCTGAGGGAGGGAGCTTGGGTTTATTGCTCGTAGCTAAATTTTCCATAAAAGAGAGTGGTGTTCTTGGAATTACCTGATCAGATTCAATGCCCTGAGCAGGTTTTTTTGTTTGTCTGTTTGTTTGTTTTGTTTTGTTTTCATTTTCGAAGGGTCTCTTATAGCCCAGACTGGCCTTGAACTCACTATGTAGCTGAAACTGGCCTTGAATTCCTGATCCTCCTGCTTCTGTCTCCCAAGTGCCACACACAGGGCCCCAAAGGAGGCTTGAATTGTGGTCCCTATCTGACCCTAAAAGTATCTGGAGTTCTCCTTAGTTGGTTCACTTGGGTCAGTAAGAGAGAGCTATTTCAGATTTCAGAGGGCAGGCTTTTAACTTCCTGTGGAGAACTGAGGAGGAAGACTGCAGACTTACCTGAACATTGGAGGAAGGAATAAGCAGTGTCATCCCTGGGGTCCCAGAAGAGCCTTGGTGTAGTGTATGAAGAAAGACCCAGCCATCCTTCTGGAGAGAATAGCTGAAGCCCGGCTACTAGCGGACTCCCCTGGGATATAACTGGGTCTGTTGTCCTGGGACAGGGACAGAGATGACAGGTCATCAGGTCCAGGTCCCGTTCTGATCTGTGCTGTGCCATACTGTGGTCCTGAAGCTGACTTAACCCCCCAGGCAGGGCCTTGCGGGAGCCTTCTCAGGGGAGTGCTCTTAATGAGCACAGGCTTGTAAGTGCTTGTCAGAGCTGAAAGTGGCACACTGTCAGGCCAGGCCACCCAGGGTGACCTGGGAGGTGGGGTATGTCATCTCTGGCTCATCACTACTCTCAGGGGCTTTGTTACCCCACATAAGCTTCAGTTTAACCTAAACACTGCTGTAGAGGGACCTGTTTATGTCCCACTTGGTGGTTATGCTGGGGAGTGGGACAAAGAGGGAGCGAATGAGACTCTGGAAGGAAACTTTCAACGGCTGTATAGCTCATCCCTTCCTTTTTCTTTTTAATGCTCATTAGCTCTGCGCTGGCCCAAACACTCTAAAAATAGAAACCTAGCTTCCTCCAGGCTGGTGAGGCTGGTCTGAAGGAAAAGGAAGAGGGTTCGCTGGGCAAAGCCCTGAGGCCAATGAGTGGAGGGCCTGAGTGGGCTTGAGTGGACCCGAGGAGAGTGGAAGTGGCCTCTGGCTGAGCACAGCCGACTTCATTCAAGGGTATCACTGTCTGCATGTCGCCCCCTCCGGCTTCGACAGATAGATGCTCTCTCAGCTTGTCTCTAGGGGTCAACTGTGTTGTGTGCCTTGGAGCAAGTCAATGCGTCACTGAATCTAAGGACTCTGCTCATACAACCCTGCCTTTTTATTTTCATTTCATTTATTTATTTTAGTTTTGAGATACGTAGCCCAGGCTGGCCTCAAACCGACTGTGTAGCTAAGGTTGGCCTTGAACTCTTAGTTCAACTTCCCCTACT